TTTTTAACCTGTAAAAGGCCATTACCAGCCCAGTAGAGTCCAGACAAAATCACACTGCCTCCACTAATAGGAAGGATTTGCTATAATTGCCGCGCTTGGCAGGCACAATGGCGATCGCAACACTGTGTCTCGTGCCTTTATCTTTGCTGACTATACCAATAGTAGGTTCTTCCATCTGTCATGTTGTATGCATAATATCTCATTACATAGAGCCATACAGTATTAGTTAAACACTAAAAATACTTATTACATTCGCATACTTATCTAGAAAAAAAAGAAAAATAGTAAAAACTTGATATTGAGATTGAGGTAATTAATGAGGTAAGCAATTATAGCGTCGTATAAAAGTATGAGTCAAATAAATCAAAATTTGAACCAATATAAAACAAAATCGTAAGATAATGACTTTGTTTCATGATATTTTGCAATTATCCATTTATCAATACAGCGAAATGTTAATGATATCAAAATTTTAAACATTCTTTATCATATCTGTAAATAGTAAATTTTCAAATTGTTATATTTAATGTTTTCTTACAATCTAAGAGTACGCTCTTTTCTAGAAGGTTCTGAGTCGTCTCAGTACGTCGCTGGCGATAGTCAATACAATTTTAATTTAGTATTCTTCATTGCACACCATACAAAACTTACAGATTATGTATACAAAGGAATATGCAATGGGCGGTCTTATTGCTGATAGCAATTTCTTTCAGACAACTTTATATTAAATTTACTTATATAAAATATATGAATACAGTATGTAATATTCAAATGCAACTATAGGAGTTTTCAATTTATACATGTTTTATTATAGTTTAGTATTTATGAAAACTTTTTTTACCTGTAATTATTTGTTTTTATAGGGTTTGATTTGTGTGAAGCTGGTCGACGGGACAATATCGTACCGGTTCGTGTTACGCAGCTGGTTGAAAGCACACATTCGTCCGGTCCAGGCAGGCTTACGAATAGTGGAGTTACACTGGTTGAAGGCTCAGTGCCGTCCGATCAATGCGTGGTCCTATATATTATTAACTATATAATATTAACCCATATTAAACTAAAATATAATGATAGCGAATCGTTTATAAACTTTGAATGAATTGATAGAAAAATTGTTAAAAAATTTAAATAAAATTTGCTATCGAAGAAAAACTATGAAATTTATTTAACATTAACACAACATTTATTTATTTACACTTTATTGCACCTTAATACAAAGGATTACAAATGATTTAATGCCCTTCGGCATTCTCTCCCGGTCAACCCGGGACGTGTGGAAAATAATGTGATAGATGACAAAATAAAATGAACCATGGAGTAAATCAGGAAAAAAAACTACTGATAAACTTAAAAATAAGCTAATATATATTTATTTACATATATACACCGTTGTTTATGCACTCCAGCTTAGTGGGTGTGATAAGATCATAGTTTATAATTATATACTAAAGAATCAGGACTACTGTACTTCCGTTTCATTATCTTATATTGTATATTATAATCTGTACTACCTTAACTGTAAATAAATATCATTTCATTTTCATTTTAAAAAAAAGAAATACTGCAGGTCACCAAACAGCCAGAAGGTGTTGGTAGCGCTCATCAATATCGTATTATACTATCGAAAGAAATCATTAATTCAGAAATTAATGCTTAAAATTGGTAAAAAAAAATAATTTGAACCTTATTTTGAAACGGTTGTAGATTATAAAATATTTTGACAAACTTAATGAGTATATACTCTTTTTTACATCAAAATATATAGAGTTTTCATTTTATTTCATAATATGTATTTGTGACAGTATTTAATCATTATAACCTGTATCGAATCGGATTCATTCTCATGCGGAAATATAAGGTACGATGTCACCAAAATTATGTATAGCAAATTTATTTACAAACATTTTGTGCAGATTTCCAACAGTGCACTTATTGAACTGCTGAAGTTTTAGTCTCTGTTTCTAACGGTGAAGCTGTGCGTAACTTTTTGTAACCGAATAGTGCAACATATTTTATAAATGAACAGTCGTTATTGTGGGAAGGAAAATCAAGTATTTCTTTTTGACGGAGCTTGTGTTATTTTGTGCAGTCTGCCTAATAAGAAACAAATAGCAAAACTACGTTCTTGGGTGAGTTTCAATGACTTGTAAAAAATCTACAGTGTTAGCATTACGTCAAACCATAATGAAATAAAGCAATTAAGTAAAATACTTAAATTACAATATACATGTAGTTTTGAGAGGTAGAGCCATGTTACCGCTATATTGTGGTTGTAACACAAATGACTAGGCTCAAACGGTTAAGGTCTAAGCTCTCACAGAATTCCAGCAAAAATAGCAGCTTAATGCTGCCGTTTCGTATGGAGAGTGTAAAGAACAGGGGATCCTTTTTATTGGAAATGAGGCACTCCATCTTACTCCTCAATGATGATAACGCATTTGCATACTGATTCTTAATCGAGGATAGATTTAGATATAATTTTCCCAGTATTCACTAAACATCAGTGACGAACGAGCACGCAACAAGCTCGCTTGTTAACCTTATTCTATATAAAAAACGCGAACAAAAAAAATTCGCTCCTGGATCGGAATGATCAGCGAGTGCGAGTGTTTTGATGTGACCCCACCGTTTATACACAGGTTGCGCGCACAAAGTTCGTAGTTGTGCGCTTACATTTTGACAACGCTCACATTCTGTAATTGTTCAATCCACCGAAAGAAATATTTCTGTATAATGTGCAGTACAGTGTCGTACAGTACCCCACACTGGTGAAAAGCGGGTTTAGAACGCGGAAAAAATTAGATCAGTCGTTTGATAATCTAACATTCTAAAACTGAATGTCAACGAGAACAAAATTAAAAAAGGAAATAAAAACTTATAAACATAGAATACATGCACGTAAACATTTCAAAAGAAGGGCATCAGTTTTCTAGCTGATTTACGAAAATATGTAACTTTATTTAACAAAGAGTATCATTTAGTCCCGTTCCTAAAGCTTGTTTCTTATTTATTGTTTTCAGTTCACGTGTGCTTAATCAAGTATTCGGAAAATCAATTTAGTAACGTGAGACGAATCCTAACGTAAAGTTACTTTAATATTCCAAGCATAAAATTCGAACAAATAAATAACATTGTTCAAGATTTGACTCTCGAGAGATAGATATTGGATAAACAAAAACATTTTCGGGCATTTATTAATCGTACATAATAATATATTTTGAAACATTTTTACGCATTATTTTAACGAATACTTATATAACAATTTTTTTTATTAAATAATAGTAATTTTTTGCCAAGAATTGGCCAGGGATTATTGATGAGAATATTGAAATTATCATATATTGTTAGGCAGAGACTACGGACTTCCATTTTATACGATCCTGTCACACCTCTCTCGCCTCCATTACATCAATATATCTACGCATGCTTGCCGGTTAAGGGTATCTTAATCTGATAATCCTAATCTAATATCGAAAAAAAATTGTATTAAAGTGGGCTGTGAGCAACCGATAAATATAAATTCATAAGTCTGAGTTGTATGAAAGAAAAACGCAACCTAAATCTTAGTGAGTTACTTAGCCATCGGCCATCGCTTTTTATTACAGAAGGAATTGCTGAACTAGATTCTCTAGGTAACCATCAAGCTGTAGTGTTCGAAGTAATAAATAGTGGAAAGGGTGAAAAAAGGCTACATTGACTGATGAATTTGGTTATTTTGATAAAAATAATAAGTTTTACTATTGCGATTACCATACAAAAGCAGAGTATGGTATTTATGATCCTTCTAAAATTAATAAAAAATACACAGCAACAGATGCAAATAGCGAGTTTTACCTTACAAGAGACGATGAAATAGAAAATGACAATATAATTCTTCACACCATTCCAGAGTTATTGTAATTATACGCACTAAGTTAGGAAAAAATGAAGTAAAAGAGGAATAGACTATAGGATGACAGAAGTTGGCTTTATTAGCTATAGGTGGTATGATACTTAGTCAATTTTAGTAAGCAGATGATCTTAGCTACAAAAGTATTTTTTACCTCATTTGTTTTTGGGTTTATTCTTTTTCCCTATTTTATAAAGCTTCTAAAAATATAAGTAAAGATGGGCAACCAATTAGATCATTTGGACCAAAAAGTCGTTTAATAACAAAAAAGAATGTACCACCTATGGGCGGAATAATAATACTGATTTCTTCTTTATTACCAATTTTGCTCTGGGCTCAGTTGACAATAGAAATTTTACTTCTGATATTGATAACTCTATTTTTTGCTCTACTTGGATTTATTGATGATTATTTAAAATTGAAGACAAATCACTATCGAGGTTTAAGTGCAAAAATTAAAATACTTATTCAGTTTATTGTTACTTTGTTTAGTATGTCTATACTTAAGCTATACTCTGCTGAAGGTTTTACAAAAACGTCTTTATTTAAAGGAGCAATAATCGACTTTGGTTTTCTATATGTTCCGTTTGCTGCGTTTGTAATTGTCGGCTCTGCTAATGCTGTGAATCTCACAGATGGTTTGGATGGCATTGCTGCAACTCAAGTTATCACTTCCTTTGCTTTTTTGGGGCTAATTGCATATATAACTCAAGCAGATATGAATATTACTTTATTCTGCATTGCATTTATAGGAGCTATTTTAAGTTTCTTGTGGTTTAACACACATCCAGCAAAAATATTTATGGGTGATGTTGGAAGCCTGTCAATTGGTGCAGCTTTAGGGTTAACTAGCATTTTAATGAAGAGAGAAGTGCTTTTTGCTTTTATTGGAGTAATTTTTGTAATAGAGACTCTATCTGTGATTACTCAGATATCATATTTTAAATATACAAAGTTTAAATATGGAGAAGGAAAAAGGGTTTTTCTTATGGCAACAATACATCATCACTTTGAGAAGAAGGAATGTTCAGAAAATGTAATCGTTATGAAATTTTGGATAATTTCTATTATCTGTTCAGTTTTTACTATAACTTTCTTATTATAAAAACCTATGAAATACCCAGACTTTACATTAGAAAATAAATTATCAGGAGTGATAGCAGGAGTGGATGAAGTTGGAAGAGATCTGCTAGCTGGTCCAGTAATATCCGCAGCCGTAGTGTTTATTGATAGAAATACAATTATTGATGGAATTAACGACTCGAAAAAGTTGACTCCTCAATGTAGGCAAGTCCTATATGAAAAAATAATATCCAATGCAAAATTTGGTATAGGAATGGCAAGCGTAGAAGAAATAAATTCATACAATATCATGCAAGCAACAAAACTTTCAATGAAACGTGCATTGATAGACCTGGACCTAGAATTAGATTATGTGCTAGTTGATGGTAATCAACCACCTGAAGTGAAATCCATATTAAACGGTGATAATTTGAGTACATCAATTGCAGCAGCTTCAATCGTTGCAAAAGTTACGAGAGATCGGCTTATGCAAGAATTGCACAATAAGCATCCTGAATATAATTGGTATAAAAATAAAGGATACGGGACAAAAGAGCACCTTAACGCTATTGGCCTTTATGGAATTACAGAACATCATAGAAAAAACTTTGCACCCATATCTCGGGCATTATATCCTTTAGATAGTAATCACTTACCTTTTTCGAAAGGCATGTTTTCATTAAATAGGCAAACTGTACTTGATCCATTCCTTAAGGTAAACACTGAACTCACCCTTTCGATTATCAGGTAGTTGTCAGCTGTACGGAAGTTTACTAAAGACTCATACCCTGCAGAATCAACCATAAAAACTGCCGGGAAATCCGAGTTTGTTTTATTGAATTGTAAATATGTAAATTTTCCGTCATCAAAAACCTTAATTGGTATTATTGACTGACTGCCTTTAACGTGCGAGATGGAATAATTAAAATTTAAGCCCTTCTTTACAACTTCAATGTCGTTTATATCAGGAATAATGTTATGACTAGCTTGTTCGAAGATATCGCCGTTATTTGTTGTGTAAATCTCATCACCGTTAAATAATGGATAAAGAAACCTTACTTCATATGCTAATTTTGGATCATGTAGTCCAGTTGCTTCTTCAGCATGAAGTTCAAAGTGATAAACTCTTTTATTGGTAATTATAGTTGTGTTAGTATCGGCAATATCATCTATAGGCTTAATAAACAATCTGTTACCTTGAGGAAGGAGTTGCCAACCAGTTGAATCACCCATTGAAAGGTTTTGTATTACCTCCCCTGGTTCAAACAATATGCTGGACTGATAACCATAAAAACCCGTATACTTATGTATAGCTTGTGGGTTATAATTTATTATCTTTATGTGATTATCTCCAGCTATTGAACGTGGCTCCTGTTTTGCAAGTGCATCACTACCATAAAAAACGAACAGTATGGCAAACAGTAAACCAATTATAATATCTAAATAAATTAGTCTTCATTTTATCATTGATAGACATTCATTGCAACTGTTAAGCTGTACTATAAACCCCAATTACAGGTTAGCAAGGGGTAGAAAAGGCAAGAAATAAGGTAAACTCCTTAAATACTTTAGAACTACAGAAGGCTTCACCTGAACGGATATACTTGGAATCCTGCCATTTTTACTTCGTAAACATACCAAGAATTCTGTCCATTATTCCACCCATATTTGCTTCAGCTTGAGTATACTCTATTTTACCACCGTATAAGATTAGTTTAATATCTGATCCAGGTGATATATTAACAAATTTACTGCCAACAACTCCATTGCTAGTGATCAGAGCTGAGCTATCAACTGGCACCTTTATATCTCGGCTTACGCACATATCGATTCGTGCTACATAGGTAGTTTGTCAAGTGACACACCGGTTATGCTTCCAACGTCCACACCAGAGACCTTGACACTATCACCAACTCCTATACCGTTAGCGTTAGCAAAAAGACCATATATTTTATAGCGTTCAAAACAGCCTATAATGAATGCTATAAGAGATGAGAATGGCTATATTCTGAATGATGAAGTTTTGAGTTTAAAGAGATGGAAGGAATATTTTGAAAACATGTTTATGAGTGAGGAGACAACGTATGAACTGAATGCAATAGGAACTCCGAAAGAAGAGGAAGGAGGTAGCGAGATAAGTATAGATGAAATAATGAAAGCAATGAAAAGCATGAAAGCAGGTAAGGCTGCCGGATATGATAGAGTTTCACTCGAAATGCTAAGGGCTGGAGAGGATGTGGTGGCAGGCCTGCTGCACACCTTGTTTAATTTATGCTGGGAACTGAAGCGGGTACCGGGAGACTGGTGCAAACCCGTGATAGTCCCAGTATATAAGGGAAAAGGGTCGCAGCAGGACTGTAAAAACTACCGCGGTTCAGCCTCTTAGCATCGTGGGAAAACTGTATGCCAAGGCACTAATTGAAAGGGTCATGAAAGAAACCGATGGAAAAATTTGGGATGTGCAAGCGGGATTTAGAAAGAGAATGGGATGTACAGATCAAGTCTTCTCCATGCGCATGATCGCGGAGAAGTTTTTGGCCAAAAACGAAAAGGTTTTTTGTGCGTTTATGGACTTGGAGAAGGCCAATGACAGAGTGGATAGGAATGTGCTATGGCAAACACTGAACTCATATGGGTTGAGCGCTGGCTTGATACAGACATTGGAGCCTCTTTATAGGGACTCTAGTGCTTGTGTTAGGATCAATGGGGTCTACTCGGACTGGTTTGTCATCCATAAAGGTGTCAGACAGGGCTGTGTGGCTTCCCCGTGGTTGTTCAACCTATTTATGGACAGTTGTTTGCAAAATTTGAAAGTTGAAGAATGCGGATTAAGAATGGGTGAGTTAACCATCAAATGTCTTTTGTACGCCGATGATCAAGTTATTCTTGCATCGTCGGCGGCTGAGTTGCAAATGATGGTTTAGGTGCTGACTCCATATGGGTGCCTATTGGTGACCATAATGAAAGATGAAATCTTTTACTGATATATTTATTATAGCGGAACGTGCCATACAGTTGGCGGGCAACTAGTGACTGGTTAAAAAATCTTATTCACTACATAATATAGTTACAATACAACATTGCGAAGTTTACATGTGTGTGCGCAGCACACCTACAATACTTCCCCCCTTTACAAAAAAATGAATACAAAAAACTTAAAACTATACAATGAATATAAACTTAAAACTAACAACAAAAACTTGCTAATGCGCTTGTGCGCAGGGCTGTACGGAGACCCCCGCGAAAGGGGTGGCGGCCGCGGCGGGCGCGGGCACATGCTGCAGACTGGTGCTAGAAGCACCTATCATCTGACCCATATTCTGGCCCGATATCGGAACGCCTGTCATTAACACCTGATGACGAAGCCAGCTTTTGAACTTCTTATTAAACTTTACCCAAATAGTGTACAGGATTATCGCCCCCATAAAACTGGCTATCACATATAACCATGTTTGAAAATTATCCACTTTATTCTCTACAGTATTTTGAGCCTGAGAAACAATAACTGGTTTTTCTTGAAAATTACCCATAGTAAAAATCGTAAAACTTATCGCGCTAATGCTATCGCAAAGGAAGTATTTCGAATGAAATTATATTAAATACATTATAACTAAACTAGCTACCTGGAACCTATATGAAAGTGCAGTATACGCAAAATACTGAACACGATACCTCTACAATTACATTCAACTTAAATAATGTAACTTGAATAAAAATATTATGCACTTGACAATGCAAATAATACTTTCGCATCCATAGTAACTAAACCTGATTATCATTTAGACATGTAATTGTATAATATATATTTTATATTAACACTAGCTTATAAATCGTGAAGGTAACTTAACAATCCGACCACTTCGCGTTGTTTTCACGGTTATCGGGTTGCTCGGGCCGGGTAACAACGACTTCAGCGGTGTGGACGGTGGTAACGGAAACCGTACATGCGCAGGTGCCACATCCGCTGCGTTGTCAGCGTTACTTTGGCGTGGCGTTGCTTCGTTACCATCACATTCCTTTAATACATATGCAGGCTTTAATCTGTCGATAGAAATATGTACCTGTCTATCGGGTAATTGAATTAGGTAAACTTTTGAGCCCCTTTTTTATCACGCGGTATGGACCGTCGTAGGGTGGTTTCAAAGGTTTACGTATTGAATCGTCCCTAACAAAGACATATTCACAGTTACGTAAGTCCTTGTGCACAAAAAAACTATGACAGTTACGTGAATCGTCGGATGTAGGCTTATAACTACGAATAGTATCTCTAATCTTATCCACTAAACAATAATCATTGACGTTACGGTTGTTCGAAGAGCTGTCATAAAAGTCTCCCGGTAGAAGTAAGTTTCGTCCGAACGTTAACTCGGCGGCGCTAACCCCTGAGTCACTGCGGGCGGCCGCGCGAAGCCCAAGTAATACTGTGGGTAGCTCTTCCACCCAGGACCCATGTGACAGGCGAGCTGAAAGTGCTGTTTTTAAAGAACGATGCCAACGTTCAACTGCGCCATTGCTTTGCGGATGATAAGGAGTAGTTCGAATTCTATTAACCCCCAACATTTTTAACAGCTGGTTAAAAAGACTACTCTCAAACTGGCGATCTTGGTCGCTAGTTAACTTTATCGGGCAACCGTAACGACAAATCCAACCTTCATATAAATGTTTGGCAACAGTTTCTGCCGTAATGTCTCGTAACGGAAAAGCTTCAGGCCACCTGGTCCTCCTATCAATTATCGTGAGTAAGTATCTATAACCATCTGGTGAGATCTCAAGAGGGCCAACGATATCGACGTGCACATGCTCAAAACGCTCTACTTCCGGAAACTTAGTCAGATTCGATACCGTATGTCTGTTAACTTTAGAACGTTGACATTGTATGCACGTTTTTGCCCACAAAGAAACATCACGATTCATACTAGGCCAGAAATACTTTTTGGCTAACATCTTTCGCGTAGAACGAATTCCAGGATGGCTCAAATTATGTAAACTATCAAAAGCTAGGCGTCGAAACTTTTCCGGTAGGTACGGACGAGCTGTATCAGTAGACATCTCACAAAAAATAGACTTATTTAACATAGGTATAACTAGTTCCTTTAACAAAATATTATCGGTATTTAAACCAGACATAACATTCATGATATAACTGTCGCTACGCTGCTCATTTGCAATGTCATCGAAATTCAACGCAGTTGGCATAGTCACGGCTTCGATGCGCGATAAGGTGTCAGCTACGATGTTATTCGTACCGGTTATATGTCTTATATTTGTAGTGAACTCACTTATGAAAGCTAAATGTCTCGTTCTCCGAGGCGTTTCGCTTTCATCGCGTCCTACCTTTTGAAATGCAAAAGTTAAAGGTTTATGGTCCGTATACACGGTTATTTCTTGCCCTTCAAATAATTTCCGAAAATGTTTTATAGCTAAGTATATAGCGAGCAACTCGCGATCGTATGTGCTATATCGCTGTTGGGTGGTGGTCAATTTTTTTGAGAAATAGCCCAATGGTTTCCAGCTATCTCCTTCCTTTTGTTGCAAGACTGCTCCCACGCATGTATTAGATGCATCAGTCATTAAAGCGAGTGCGGAACCCACTCTAGGGTACGTCAATGTAGCGGCCTGTGTGAGACCTGCCTTACATTGCGTAAATGCTTCGTTCGCACTATCCGTCCAGACGATGGGAGTCTTATCATTTTTCTTTGAGCTTTTAAGATATTTATTTAATTCTGTTAGATATAAAGTTGCGTTGGGAAGATGAGCTCGATAAAAATTGACCATACCGAGAAAACGTCTTAGTTCTGCAACAGTTTTCGGCTTCGAAAATTCCACAATTGCCTGAACCTTATCTTGCAACGGCCTGACGCCGTCGGTACTAATCTCGTGTCCTAAAAATTCTAGTTTAGTTTGTCCGAAACGACATTTTGCCAAATTAATTGAAATTCCATATTTATTAAGCCTTTTAAAAATGATTTCTAAATGTTGCCTGTGTTGAACTTCGTTGTCACTAGCTATAAGTAAGTCGTCTAAATAACAAAAAACAAAATCAAGACCTTGTAAAATGGAGTTCATAAAGCGCTGGAAGGTTTGTGCTGCTCCGCGCAAACCGAAGGTCATTCGAGGAAACTCGAAAAGTCCGAATGGTGTTATGATAGCGGTTTTCTCCACGTCACCTGGTGCGACAGGTATAAAATGATAACTTCTATTGATGTCTAATTTTGAAAATATCTTTTTATCCGGAAGAATAAAAGTAAAATCGTTCAAGCGAGGAATCGGGTATCTGTCGGGCTTTGTTATCGCATTCAGCTGGCGATAGTCCCCACAAGGTCTTATATCTCCATTCTTTTTAGGAACTACATGGAGCGGACTAGCCCACGCGCTCTTTGAAGGACGACAGATGCCCAGTTCTTGCATGATGCGAAATTCTTCTTTAACTTTTTTA